CGGCCAGCCAGCCATCCTGGGAGGCTCTCTAACTCACTTAGGGAATGTAGCATTTATGTTGATATCTCTAATTAGTACAGAGTGCCAGTTGAGGCCACTTTTGCCGCATTCTTTGCACGGTCCCTCTCTACCCGCCTACCAATGCTCAGGAATGAAGAGGGAGGCCCCACCCCCTGCCCCTTTTCCTCACCCCACCCTGCTGGGCAATGAAGAAAACAGGAGTGAGTGAAGAGCTGTGATGTGGCTGGTTGGGGGGGCTCCGCCATCCCAGAGGGGCTGACCTCAGTCTGGGAGGAATGTGCAGGAGGCGGAGGGAGGGCAGGGGCGGAGCGGGTGGGGGCAGGGCCATGGCCCAAGGCCCTGGGTTCTTGGTAGCCCCTCCCTCAACCCCTCCACCTCTGCTCTGACATGGCTCTCAGAAAGGAAGGGATACAGGCAAGGAGGGGAGGAGCTGATCATTCAAAACAGGTGGGCCAGGGTACGCTGGGAATGTGAGAACCAGGATGGGGGTGGGTGGGGGACACACTCCTGCTGACCCTTTCCCGGGAGTTCCAGTAGGGCAGGTTTGAATTAGAGTGTCAGGGAACCTAGACCTCAGGTGATGCTGGGGCTCTCCGTAGCCGCCTCCCCCACCCTGCCTAAGTCCTCAGGGCTGTACGACCCAGTGCCCATGTGGCCAATAGCCAAAGGTTTCCAGGAGGAGCCACAAGCCTTGATTACTAAAGCAGGTGTGAACAGTGAGTCTTAGACCCCATCCAACCCAGGCTGGGCACTGGCAGGATTGCTACAACCTTCAGCTGTGTGTCCTACGCTAGCCACATCACTCAGAGTCCAGGCAGGGTGCAGGGGGCAGGCCCATCTGGTGATGAGGGATGGGGAGGCAGGAGCTGGGCCTTGGCACAACAAACCAGTTATTTTCCAGAGGGAAAAGCTAAAGTCTCGACGGTGTGCCACCAATAGGCAGACAGAGCCAGGACCCAGGCAGGCCTGTGCCATGGATGTCCTGGTGAGAAGTAGGGGCCCAAGAGGCTAGGGTGATCCTAAGGGAAGGGGTACAGGCAGCTGCCTGATTTTCTGATTCTGTTGAGACCCAGGCCCAGGCAGTCTGATTCCAGAGTCCTTGGGAGGTTTTTCAGGAAACTCACCGAGTACTGCTCTGTGGCTTGGTGCAGAGCTAATGAGCAGAAAGGAGACCTTGTGGGGGACAAAGACTACATCAGCTCCCACACTGGGGGCTTCTTTCCTATTCAAGGAAGGAGCTATCTGGAGGAGGGCAGGCAGCACCCAGGCCTGAGGACTGAGTCCTGGGCTGTTGGAAAGATGAGGGGGGTGTCCTCGTCTGGTTTCCCAGTATGAATGTGGGGTTGGGGAGACAAGGGAATAAAACAGAGGCTGGGACCCTAGGTCAGGAGAACTGAAAGAAGAGGGGACAGAAGGGCACACACACAGCAGAGCAGGGGAGCGCCCTTAAAGGCACTTGCTGATTTTGGCTGCTGGGGTGGAAAAACAGCCCAAGAATTTTGTTTGCTTGCATGGGGTCAGAAGAAGCTGCCCAGGTCCAAAGGAAAGACAGCTTAGCCCAGGAGTAGGCAAAGATGCATCCTGGAAACCCCTCCTTATCTCTGATCCTCTTGCTGACTCCCATTCTACACCTGTCAGCTGCTCAGGCTAGTCCAGCAACACAGCTCCTAGAGCTCAGGAAGAAGAGACATAGCCCTGAAGAGGACTCAGGGACTTGGAGATGAGTCTTCTCCCACCTCTGGCCCTGTCTCACTGCAAGCACCCGGGGAATGGGCAACAAAACTGTGCACACCGGAAGTGCCCACAGCCTCACCTACAGTCCTTCCTGAGGAACTGCTGCCCAACCTCAGGTGGCAGAAGAGTGCCTCGGGGGACTGAGGGGGTCACAGCCCACCCTCAAGCCCTGTCACCCTCACCCAGGCCACTGGCAACATGAGCCCCTCCAAGGAGGTACCCCTTGCAGTGCAGGTAGGGAGTGTCCACAAGGGCAGCCTTCAGGGTAAGACCCCTGGCCCTTCCCACCAACCCTCCCTCAGGTACCTGCTCTGGTTTTGACCTAGGGAGAGAGGCTGAGTCAGGGAGGTCACACAGTCTGCACTCACCTCCCAGCAGGGGTGCAGGAGCACTGGTCCAGGTGTGGATATAAAGATGGACCCACATCCCACAGTGCTAAAGTGAGATGTGCTAGAAGACTGTGCCTGCCTCTCTCACCCTCCTCTCTCTAACCCCTGGGCTGTCGTCACAGCTGGGCCAGGCAGCTGAAGTACTAAATGGTTCAGCTGGGGAGGAAGGACTGGGGCCCATCCTGGGGTTCTGCCTGATCTCCCACCCAGCTGACTCCTAGGAACTGAGGCAGCAGCTAACTCCCATTATTCTTCATCTGACACCTCAGCTGTGGAGGGACAGGTGAGGAATTAGAGAGCCCTGCAATCCCTTCTGCCTGCCGCAGGGATCTGCTGGAGCTGAGGTACAAGGTAGTCTCTGTTGCTTCTTCCTCCTCTGCTTTGACTGGTATTGGACCACGCCAAGTACCTCGGCCTTGAACACCCCTCACTTTCAGGCCCAGCTGGGCAGGGGTCATCCCTACTCGCTCTTCTCTTGTGCCCATTCCACTCTGGCTGCCTTCTCCTGCCCTCCAGGCTGCCTGCCCAGTCACCCGATCCACCCTGCAGCCCGGCAAACTTTTCTACAGCGTCATGGGGCGGTGGCTGGCCTGGTGGGGGCGGGAGCTACTCCTTAAAGGAGCCATCAGAAGGTGCCCCGCAGCCCCCAGCCTTCTTTCCTTCCCCAGGGAAAAAGGGTCTGGGGAGGGGAGGTGCCTCTGCTGAGTTCTCAGTGGAGTGTGAGAAGGCTGCCAGGTGGCAGTTTCAAAGATCTCTGCAGCCCAAGAAGCAAGAAGCAACAGTGGCAAGTGTCAGCGGATGGAAGGAGGGAGGTGGGGTCCTGGCCTGGGAGGGGTGCAAAAGCTGGGGAGCTGGGCAGGGATGGTGGTGGAGGGGTCTGAGGCCTGCCCCAGCAGCTGTTTCCCTTGCTTGATTTCACCCTGGGACCTTGCCCCACCCCAGGGCTCCTGTTCAGGCACCTGCCCAGCCAGCTTCTGGGAAGGGCAGTGGGCAGGGCAGATGCATCCAGATCCCACCTGAGGGACCCAGGGAAGTCCACTGAGGTGGAGGGGGAGGCTTAGGGAGCATGGAGGCTCTGAGCTGGGACAGCATCTCTACCAGGAACCTGTGGGGAGAGAGCAGCTGCTTCACCCTGCCCCTCATTTCTTTGGGTCTAAAGCCTGAGCTCACAGAATCTCTACGACCAGGAGCAAAGAGGGAGCAGCCCAAGTGCACAGCTGGGTTTGTGGGGAGCAGTGCCAGGTCAGGAGCTGAGGCAGTTGCCCAGCCTGGGCCATCCCTGGGTCTCCAGATAGCACCTCTCCCTCTGAGGCATGGGTCCCCTTGGAGTCTTGGGATCTTAGTGCTGCATTTGCTCACTTATACACCCAATGAGACACACAAAATATGTGTATGTACACGTGCTTACATATGCACAAATATGTGACACTTGTACAGATGTGCACACACTGCATAGATGTGCACACAATACCACACATGTGTATACACACATTTGCAAACTCAGCTCATATCTACATAGGCCCGATACAGCCATGTTTGGGGACAGACATGTACACATGCATACCCATGCACACACACACTATATACATGCACACACTTGCAAAAGGACTCAGAAACACTCACACTGACAGGCGCTCCAGCCCCAAAGGGCCTCTGTGTTTCTCTGTGGGTCTGTGGGTCCATGGCTACCTTCAAAGGCCTGCCCTCCTGTCCCCACCCACTCTCCATGGGCTTGCTTGACTCGTTCATTTGGTGCCCTCTGAGATGACTCTGGGTCCTGATTCTTATTGGCATCTGCTGTTCCCTCATGCACCTTTGTCTGTGTCTCCCAGAATCCCAGTCCCAGTCACAAGCTGGCATCAAGTGGGCACACTGTGCTTGTGATTAATGTCTGTGAGTGTGTATACAGGAGGGGAGGTTACTGGGGAGGGTGACGTGTTGGGACGGGCGCCTGCTAGTGCAGGGTGACCCTAAGGGTGTGCCCAGCGTGGGTGTGTCTGTGATTATGGCATGGGGGGGCACCCTCTGAGGAGGGGAGGACTCAGAAGCGGGAATGTGACCCCCCAGCCTCTTTCCTCAGGGGCTGTAATCTGATCCCTGGGGACTCCCCCCCACCTCCCGCCCTCACTGCCCTCACTGCTGCTGCTGACTCCTTCTCTTCCAGATCTTGGGGCAGAGTCCAGGGAGGCTCAAGGCTCCTACACACACACCCGCTGAATCCTGAGCGCCCTGAGCTGCCGGCATGGGGCGTGCCGAGGCCGCCGCCATGATCCCAGGCCTGGCCCTGCTCTGGGCAGCGGGGCTGGGGCAAGTTACCTCCAGCCCGCCACGCCTTCGGCTCTCCTTTCAAGGTAGGTGCACCTGGCAAGAGGAGGGCCTGGCTCAAAGTGAGCAGGAAAAGGTCCCAGGCTGACAGGGGGCTTTGGCATTGGTTGTTGTCCTCTGTGTGTGCCTGTCACTGACCCATGTCGAGTTGGGGGACATTCTCAAGCCATCTCTGGTTAACCCCTTCAGGGCTTCAGCCTCCAAACTCTGCCACATTCTCCTCATGCTTTCCCAGGAAGCCCCCTCCCGTTCCCATAGCAACAGACCTTGACTCTGCCCCATTAGCTTACCCCCAAGCAGGCCATGGGGCAAGAGGAAAGTCAAAGTTTGGGGACCATGAGAGACCCCTTCTCACACCCCCTGTACAGAGAGGTGGTTACTAGGCAGTGGCTTAGGGTAGGCAATTCTGCTGAGCCCTAGTTGGTAGCACGGTGACTGGAAAGGAACCTTCACCGTTTAGGGAGTTGTCCCTCCCTGCTTAGCCTGCTCCAGAGCCCTGGCATCCACAAGCCTGGCCTCCCATCCGCCCGCCCAGAGACACCACTTGTCAGAACACGCGTTCCTCAGCCTACTTTCCTCTTCCTAGGGGCTGCACCACCCACTCTGCAGCTCCATACGTGCACCTGGGTGGGCCTGTCTCCATATGTGTAAGCTCACATGTCACCCACACGTATGGGAGCCAGTTCACATGTGGAACCTTAGTCTGTAGAAAGATGGCCATGGCAGGTGAGTCCTCAGTGGTGTTCCCCGCTTGCAGAGCTCCAGGCCTGGCATGGGCTCCGGAACTTCAGGCTGGAACGGACCTGTTGCTATGAAGCTTTGCTGGTGGATGAGGAACGTGGACGCCTGTTTGTGGGTGCTGAGAACCATGTGGCCTCACTTAGCTTGGACAACATCAGCAAACAGGCCAAGAAGGTGTCAGGGACCCCTAACCTCAGTGCTATCCAACAAAAGAGCCTTAGCACCCCTGTCCAAACTGCCTTGAAAGGCTCAAAGGGGGTGGGCTTACCCAGTGGAAAGACCTCCGGGATAGAGTATATCTCAAGTCCATGACCTGTGTTTCCCTCTGTCCCATCCACCTGTAGCTGTCCTGGCCAGCCCCTGTGGAATGGCGGGAAGAGTGCAACTGGGCAGGGAAGGACATTGGTGTGAGTGCCAGCTACCAGGGTGGGGGTGGGGAGGCTGGGAGTGGGGAGGCTGGGCCCTGTGCCCCAGAGATAGGACAGAACTCAGACAGAAGCCTGCCTGTTGTGGCTGGGAGGAGGGCAGGGAGGTCGAGGTGGCTGAGGTCTGGAGGTGGTGAGTCAGGGTACACATTCATGTGATTCTTGGGGGCCTGAGTCAGGGGGGTTGTGCAGCTCTGTGCTTCTCCATGTACCACCCTGTGTGGGGTGAGGGGTGGGTTGGGCTGGTCACCAGGGCCACTTAGGTCTCAGAAGAACATGGCAGTACTTCTCTGGACGGCTTCAGAAAGAGACAGCGGTGATGATGGTGCAGTGGACAGGGACCCTTCGGCCACCTTCCAGAGGAAGCCTCACTGCCCCAACACTACCTGTTCACTAGACTGAGTGCATGAACTTTGTGAAGTTGCTCCATCCCTACAACCACACACATGTGCTGGCCTGCGGCACGGGGGCCTTCCACCCCATCTGTGCATTTGTGGAAGTGGGCCACCGGCTGGAGGTAAGGCCTGGACTAGTCAAGGGAGGCCGGGAGGGTGAAAGAAGGGATGGCCGCTATAACTCCTGTCTCCCAGGAACCCATACTTTGGTTGGAACCGAGAAGGTTTGAGGATGGCAAGGGGAAGAGCCCCTATGATCCCAGGCATCGGGCGGCCTCCGTGCTGGTGGGTGAGTCCAAAGCTTGGGATCTTGATAAAACTAGTGTCCCTTGGAAATTCTAGAACCTCACAAATGTCAACACCCCAAGGCACCAGGGATCCTCATAACTCACTGACTCCCAAAGAGCCCCCAGGACTCCCAGGCCCTCATACCCAGGAGCCCCAGCCTGACTGAGCAGCCCTTGCCCCATCTGCAGGGGAGGAGCTGTACTCGGGGGTGGCAGCAGACCTCATGGGCCGGGACTTTACCATCTTCCGCAGCCTGGGCCGACGACCGAGTCTCCGAACAGAGCCTCATGATTCCCGCTGGCTTAATGGTGAGAGGCTGGTGAGCCAGTGGGAGGGGGCTGCCATCCTTCCACAGGGCAGGGGTCAAGCAAGGATAAAATACGTGAGCATTGGCCACAGTGAGGTCTTACCAAGTAGCTACCATAACCAGGCCCCATGCCAGGCACTGGGGTCACAGGGACAGGCACAGTGAGAATGGACCACGCTGTCGTCGAGTTCACAGATTTCGTAACAAATATATGAGAAGACCAATTCCAATGACCATGATGCTCATGAGAGAATAGAAAGGAAGGGAAGAAGGAAATGGGTTGGGGGAATGAAGCCACCTTGCTGAGGAGAGTTATGAGTTAATTCCCAAAGCATAAACCAGCCATCCAATAGAACTGAGAGAAGAGAATTCCAGGTAGAGGCAACAACTAGTCCAAAGGCCCTGAGGTAGGAACAAAACAAAGACACATTTATGGAGTTAGCAATGACAAGGAGACTACACTGTCAGGAGCTGAAATAGTGAAATAGTTTATTATTTGTGTGTGTGTGTGTGTGTGTGTGTGTGTGTGTGTGTGTGTGTGTGTGGTATGAGGGATCCAACTCAGGAGGAATAGTTTATTCTAATGCATGGGGCCCAGAAGGAGGATTGGAAACAGGGAATGGGGATCACTTGGTGTGATAAGGAGAAAGATTTATGAGTGAAGGTGAAACTGGATACCTTGTCTTTTCTTCCTAGGCTTAGGCCTGGGAAACTGTAAAGGTCCAGATTAGCGGCTACCAGGCTTCCCTCATGCTTACTCAGGTAGTCCGGTCTCTGCTGCCCCCTCGTGGCCACTTCTTGCATCACGGGCTTTGATCCTCTGGAATAGGTCCTCAACAATCAAATGCTGCCCAGTACAGCTGCAGACGTTAAGGGCAGGGGATGCTGCCAGTGGGTCTGATGTCAGGGTAGAGGCACAAAACCACTGATCCCACATCCTGTTGTGGCTAGAACCCAAGTTTGTCAAGGTCTTTTGGATCCCTGAGAGTGAGAACCCAGACGACGACAAAATCTACTTCTTCTTCCATGAGTTGGCAGTGGAGGCAGCACCAGTACTGGGGCGCCTGACTGTGTCTCGAGTCGGCCAGATCTGCCGGGTGAGGATCACTGGGCCACTCACTCCCTGGCAACCTTGTCCCATCCTTTGCCTGCTGGGGTCCTGCTCTCATACCCTTAGATCTTTTTGGCAGAATGACATGGGCGGCCAGCGCAGCTTGGTCAATAAGTGGACGACGTTCCTGAAGGCACGGCTGGTATGCTCCATGCCTGGTGTGGAGGGCTACACTCACTTCGACCAGCTCCGTGAGTGCCTGGGGTGGAAGGTGGGATGGAGACAGGGATGGGGGTGCAGATTCCAGGAGCCCAACTGGGCCAGAGAAGCTGTGCTCCTCCCCAACCTGGGCCTTTCCTTGCAGAGGATGTGTTCCTGCTGTCCTCTCGGGACCCCCGGAACCCACTGCTCTACACTGTCTTTTCCACATCCAGGTGAGGGGCAGGAGGGAGGTCCTAGTCAGGGTCAGCTGAGCTCTCTGTGGCCCTCACTCTGCTCTTGTGGTTACTTGCAGCGGCATCTTCCAGGGCTCTGCTGTGTGCGTGTACAGCATGAACGATGTGCGCCGGGCCTTCCTGGGACCCTTTGCACACAAGGAGGGGCCCACACACCAGTGGGTGTCCTACCAGGGCCGTGTCCCCTACCCCCGGCCTGGCATGGTGCGTAGCTAGATGACTCCTGCCACAACTCATTTCAAAGCTGCAGGGATACAGAACCTGGCCTGGGATCTTGATGAATGTGGTTTCTTTCTTTTTTTGGTACCGGGGATAGAACTCAGGACCTTGCACTGGCGAGGCAGGTACAATGCCCTTGAGCTAAATCCCCTGGTTTCTTTGTTATTGGATGGGAAGGTCACCATCTTCAGACAGGGATCATTGTGGGAAAGCTGTGTTTTGTTCCCCTCTTTAGCCTGAGGTTCAGTCTGAGCCTCCCCAGGACACAGCTCAAATCTCCAGGTTAGCACTCTGTCGCCTTCCGCCTTCCATGTCCCTTGCCTATATCCCTAGTTGCCTTTCTCCATACTCTCCCTAGTGCCCCAGCAAGACCTTTGGCACCTTTAGTTCCACCAAGGACTTCCCTGATGACGTCATCCAGTTTGCTCGAAACCACCCTCTCATGTACAACCCTATCCTGCCCATCGGTGGGCGGCCTGTCTTCATGCAAGTGAGTGCCGGTTATACCTTCACTCAAATCGCTGTCGACCGTGTAGCAGCTGCTGACGGACACTATGACGTCCTCTTCATTGGTACAGGTGAGGGCCCACAGTGACACCCAGAACCCCATCCAGGCTTTTCATTGCCTGTTCAGTCCTATCTCCACATCTGTTCTTGGGCTGTGGCTCCATATTCTGGATGCTTCCCTGATTGTTCCGACCCATATTCTTTTCTTTTTGGGGGGGTACCAGGGATTGAACCCGGGTCCTTGTGCTTGCGAGGCAGGCAGTGGAACTACTGAGCTAAATCCCGGGCCCACAACCCATATTCTTCACCTTTTTTGGGTTTTGTTTTTGTTTTTTTTGAGACAGGGTCTTACTTACTATGTAGTTGAGACTGACCTGGAACTCACTATGTAGCTCAGGCTGGTCTCAAACTCACAGCGATCCTCCTCCCTCAGCCTCCCGAGTGCTGGGATTACAGGAGTGCGCCATTCTTCACCTTTTCATAACCAACAATGCTGAGGGTACAGGCAAGGGACTCTGGCTCTTGCTATCAGGGGAAACCAGTGGTCACACCCCTTTCTCTTCCCTGCAGATGTGGGGACAGTGCTAAAGGTGATCTCAGTACCCAAGGGCAACCAGCTGAGTTCTGAGGGGCTGCTTCTGGAGGAGCTGCATGTGTTCGAGGTGAGGCTTCACCTTCCAGTTGCCCAGCCTTGCCTCCCCAACACATTAAGTCCTGATCCCAGTGCTTTTCCTCTCTTTCAGGACTCAGCTGCTGTCACCAGCATGCAAATCTCCTCCAAGAGGGTAAGTGGCCAGAAGGCGGGGGCAGGAAGGGACTGAGCTCAGGATGCCCCATCCGCCTTACACTGTCTTGCCCCTGGTAGTTCAGTCCTTGGTTTGAGTAGAAGCATTGTGTGACTTGAACAAGACCTCAGTGTTCCCATCTTTCAAATGGGGGAAGGGATCCCTGCCCGATGGGAGGCACACAAGGAGCCACCCTTGGTCAGCCGGGAGCCCTTCCTGCCCTCCAGCACCAGCTGTACACAGCCTCCAGGAGCTCAGTGGCCCAGATCTCCTTGCATCGCTGTGCAGCCCATGGCCGCGCCTGTGCAGAATGCTGTTTGGCACGTGACCCCTACTGCGCCTGGGATGGAGCCAAGTGTACACGCTTCCAGCCTAGTGCCAAGAGGTGGGTGGAATCAGGGTTCTGCTGGGACGCATGGGAAAGGAGGGCTTTTTGCCACCCAGGAGGCTTGAAGCAGGGCTCAAGAGGTTCCAGTGTCTCTCCAGGCGGTTCCGGCGGCAAGACATAAGGAATGGCGACCCCAGCACGCTTTGCTCGGGGGGTGAGTGGCCCATCTACCATGTCCTCGGCCCCTAAAGATGCCCCACGCCTCCCTGCCCTGCTGAATTCGCATTTTCCCCATCCTAAGACTCGTCCCATCCTGCACTGCTTGAGGAAAAGGTCTTCGGTGTGGAAGGTGGCAGCACTTTCTTGGAGTGTGAGCCCCGCTCACTGCAGGCACGTGTGGAGTGGACTTTCCAGCACACCGGGGAGGCTGCCCACACCGAGGTAAGCCTCGCTCTGGTCTTACATCCAGGAGATGTCTTGCCCTACCTAGTCAGGCCTATGGCTGGCACCCCACCCAGGTCTAGGTGCAATCTGCCCAGCCAGATCCCTCACCTGCGCAGCAGTCCCTTGACCTGGACTCTATCTATGTGAGGACTCACGGTGTCCAGCTAGGCTCTGACCTGCACACCTATCGTCGGGGGTAGGCCTGCCTCTGAGCTGCCACTGAGGTTCCTGCCCTGGCCGCCCCCATCAGATCTTCATCCATCAACGGCCAACGTGCAACCCACCTCAAGTGAACCAGCAGGTTCCCCATTAGCCTTTGGCTCCCTGGAGTTTGTGCTCATTTCCCTTCCTCATGCCACACCCTCATCCCGCAGGTGCCTGAGAAGCGTGCCGATCAGGTGGCGCGGGGGCTACTGCTGCGAGGACTTAGCCGTCAAGACTCGGGCGTGTACCTGTGCGCCGCCGTGGAGCAAGGCTTTTCACAACCGCTTCGTCGCTTCCAGCTGCACATCCTGAGCGCCAAGCAGGCTGAGAGGCTGACGCGTGTCCAAGAGGCTGCGCCCCCTGCACCCCCAGGACCTAAACTGTGGTACAGGGACTTTCTGCAGCTGGTGGAGCCGGGCGGCGGCGGAGGCAAGAGCTCCCTGCGCATGTGCCGACCACAGCCTGCGCTGCAAGTCCCGGGGCCCGAGACGCGCCGGAAGGGCCGCAATCGGCGGACACACGCTTCCGAGCCGCGTGGGGAGAGGGGGCCTCGCAGTGCAAGGCACTGGTGACTGGGTTGTCCCCACGCGGGGACCAGGCAGGAGACAACGGGCCAGAGGGGGCAGACAGGCCCCAGGAAGACGGATGGGCTGGAGCTGGGCACACCATGGTCCCCGGGCCAATGGAGACACCGAATGACAAGGCCCTGGCAGAAGAGCAGCTGCGCTGGCTTATTTATTATTAACAGGATAACCCTTGAATGTAGCCCCTTAAGGGCGGCCCAGGCCGGGTGCAGAATGTGGCCCAGAGAGAGGGAACAGAGAAGCAGGGTTTCAGAGCAACAACGAGGGCCAGGGAGGTGCCCTGAGTGCCCACACTGGAAGGTGGAAGGATTCCCCTCCTAGCAGTGAGCATAAGGCTGTGAACAAGCTGGGCCACTGGGGGTAGGATAGGGCAGGCTGGCTGTACTAAAGTAATGCAATAAACACTTTATCAGCTGAAGCTGGAATGGCCACAGCCTACAATTGCTACTCTTAGAATTTGCTATGTGGTTTTGGGCATCTGGCTAGTAGTCTCCTCCTGTCCAAGATTGCTGTGGTGAGGATTTAAAATGGCATATACATAACTGAGCAGGTTATATACTGACAGGCACAGTACATTCTGTGTAATGTCATTTAGGGGCTAAGTGAACCAGAAGTGCTGATACATGCCTGTAATACCAGCACACTTGTGAGCCTGGGGCAGGAGGTTCTCAAATTCCAGCCCAGCCTGGGCAACATGGTGAGATCTAGTCTTTTGAAAAAGAAGAAGAAAAAAGGCTAAATACTGCATTCTGAAAAAAACAAAGTTGGGTGATGTCAAAAATAATGTGAAACGGTGACATGTGAGCTGAAAGACAAGGATCCAGCCCCAGGACTACTTAAGGGCAGGGGGCAGAGCACTCCAGAAGGAAACAGCCCTGCACAGGGGAACGAAGTTACTGGGTTTTGAGGAGCAACATGGGGTGGATGTGATACAGTGCAGTGATGGATCCGGCACCTCTGAGTAGAACCCACAGGCTTGCTTTGCCACCATTAGGAAGCAAGGGCACAGCGGGCCACTTGAAGAGGGCTGAAAGCTGGACCAACTCCTCCTAAGGGTGAGCAGTGCTGTCCACGCACAGGATCTGTGGCACCTGTATGTCCTGTTCAGAGGAGAGGGGGAGGAACAGTGCCTGATGCCAAGAGCTTCAGACACTTGGCTGTATCTTAGTGTGCTATGCCGGGAGGAACCACTCACTGTTCTACAGAGAGCTCTTTCTCCACAGAGAAGATGAAAACACAGAGAGCTGATCCTTTACTAAGGTTGTAAGCTCAGTGGAAGTACCAAATTGGACATGATGGGCCCAGGATTTATTTATCTGAGTGGTTCTACTGCCTGCCTCGCAAGCACAAAGATCCGAGTTCAATCCCTGGTACAAAAAAAAAAGTCATGATAGCACACACCTATAATCTCAGTGCCTTGGGAGGCTGAGGTAGGATGATTGAAAATTTGTGCCACTCTTGGGCAATTTAGCAAGATTCTTATCTCAAGATAAAAAATTTAAAAGTCTGGGGATGTTATCTCAGAACCAAGGCCCTGGGTTCAAGCCCCAGGACCACAAAACAAAAACTACTGTATACTAGTAGAAGCACCAGCCTCCAATCCAGCTTGAGCATCAGCATGACATGGCCAGCATGTGAGCATCATGTGTGCACATGTATGAATACCCACTTGTGGGGCTATTGGAGCCCTTATGGCACTGGGCTCCAGTTGTGCCTCTATGCCCAAATCCCTGGTCCTAGCAGTCACACAATAGTGGGTACTTGTCCAGCTATATTTTTGGTACTGGCGATCGAACTCAGGTCCTTGTGCTTGTGAAGAAGGCAGTGGAACCGCTAAGCTAAATCCCCAGCCCCAAAATCTTTTATTTATTTTTTTGTACCAGGGATTGAACTCGGTCCTTGTGCTTGCAAGTTAGCAAGACAGGCAGTGGGCCCCTTGTCCAGCTTTTGTTGAGAGATAACTGGACTATGGGTAAGGATCCACAGGGGTGAGGTGTGATTGAGTACAAATGTACAAGGGCTTCTCTTCTTTTTCAATGCTAGGGAGCAAACCCAAGACCTTGTGCATGCTCCACCATGAGCTACTTCCCCAGCTCCCCCTTTTATATATATTTTTATTTTAAATATTGAAAATAACTGGGCATGGTGGTACATGTGTCTAATACAAGCATTCGGGAGGCTGAGATGGGAGGATAACTGTGACTTTGAGGCCAGCCTGGACTACATAGTGAGTTAAAGACTAACGTGAGGGCTGGGGATTTAGCTCAGTGGCAATATGTCTGCCTGTCAAGTGCAAGGTCCTGAGTTTAATCTCTGGTACTGAAAAAAAAAAAAGCATGAACTACATAGTGAGATTTTTTTGTTTTTTGTCTTTTTGAGACAGGGTCTCACCATGTCATTGAGACTGACCTGGAACTCACTGTGTAGCCCAGATTGGTCTCGAACTCACGGTGATCCTCCTGCATCAGCCTCCCGAGTGCTGGGATTACAGGCGTGCACCACCACGCCCGGCTGTGAGACTCTATTTTTTAAAAACCCAAAATTAATTTTGACAAGATCTCAGGTTGTCCAGGCTGGCCTCAAACTTGCCATCCTCTTATCTCAGCCTCCTCAGTAACTGGGATTACAGTTGTGTGCACCCATGTCTGGCTGAGTTTCCTTTTATGTCATGGCTTCCACATGTATTGCTGCTGCAGGCTGAGCTTAAGGTGGCTGTTCTGGATGAAAGCCCCAGCCCTGTGTATGAATAGGGGTGGAATATTTTCTGGAAGAGGTCCCTGTATCGGTGGAGCTCTTGGCTGAACTAAGTCACCATGTAGTCTAGGCTGGTGGTGGCAAACCTATGACACATGTGCTGTAGCAGGCTCTTACCATTGAAAGCTCTAAAAGGTTTGCCAGCATTAGTCTAGGCTGACCCATGTGTGTCACTCGGCCCCTTCTCAGGGCTGAGAGCTGCCCCTTCTAAATATATCCCAGTGGGCTGAGCTCAGGCTTATTTTAAACCCAGATTGGGAGGTGGCCCGGCCTTCCCAAGCTCCCAGAGGAGCCACTGCTGCCTTCATCCATGCCTGTTACTGGGCACCCTCACTGGCTCCGACTCTCAACTTGCCATGCCTGAGGAGACCCAAGAAGGTAGGAGAGGGTGACCATGAGGGTGGGCAAGGCCCTAGTCCTGTGACCTTTTAGGTCAGAGACCCAATCTCTGTGCCACTGACCTGTCTTCTAGTCATTTTCATGTCCCAGCCCTAGAAAGGGACCTACTCTTGTGCACAGAAGAGCCTGGCACATCTGGAACCTCTCCACCTCAAGCCACACTTGTTTGCCCTGCTGTGGACACCAGTATGCCAGGAAGCTCCCCACTTTACGACTGGGTCAACTACAGGCTGTGACCAAATGGGTGTGGGCATCTGGGCATCTGCTTGGCCAGTTCATTTTTTTGGTACCAGGGATTGAGCTGGGGTCCTTGCGCTTGCAAGGCAGGCAGCAGAACCACTGAGCTAAATCCCTGGCCCTCATTTTTGTCGGTACTAGGGATTGAACTGAAGGAGTCCTGACCTATATCCCCAGTCCTTTTTTTTTTTTTTTTTTTTTTTTGGTACCGGGGATTGAACTCAGGTCCTTGCGCTTGCAAGGCGGGCCACCGAACTGCTGAGCTAAATCCCCGGCCCCCCAGTCCTTTTTGAGACAGGATTTCAATAAGTTGCACAGGCTGGCCTCAGACTTGTGATCCTCCTACTTAAACCTCCCAAGTAGCTGAGATTATAGGCATGTGCCACCATGTCTGGCCTTTACTCTTCTTTCAAGGAAGAAACTAGGAATGGGATTGGGCATTTGGACACCTGACCTAGGAACCAAGAAGTAGGCAGGGTATTTGTCCTTTCCCAATTTGGGTCTGAAAAGCTCGAGTTGGTCAAGAGCTTGGTGGCTAACCACGTAACTGTTCCACTGTATATAGGAAGCACCGAGTTGGGCATGGTGGCACATACTTGTAATCCCAGCACTCTAGGAGCCCATTTTGGGAAAGGTAGCATAACCCTGTCTCAAAAAAGGGCTGAGGATGTAGCTCAGTATAAAGGTCCTGGGTTCAATCCCCAGCACACACACAAAGTGGGTGAAGCACAACAGAGTGCAAGAATATTTAATATAATATGACCTTCAATTTACCAACAGCCTAGACTGGCAGCAATGCTTTGTTTGACATGCTTTTTTTTGTGGGGGTACTGGGGATCAAACTCTGGATCTTGCAAGGAAGGCAGGGAACCAGAGCTAAATCCCCCCTGTGGGTGTTTTTTTTTTTTTGGTGGTTCCTGGGATTGAACTCAGGACCTTGCACTTGCAAGGCAGGCGGTGGCACCACTGAGCTAAATCCCCAGCCCTGACTTGCTTTTGAGGATGCTGTGGCAGCAGCTTCAGTTAGTTTATGAAGGTTGAGTTACTGTCCTGAGAGTGCTACAGTTGCTGCTTTTATCAGGAAATCTCCCCCTGGTTTCCTCCTCACTGTAATCTAGAATGTGGGCATCTGGAGTTCTTACTGGGCCAAGATTTTAAAAAACCAAGTCAACACCAGATGAAAATATATTTAGAAATCAGATAGGTGTGGTGATGTATGCCTGTGATCCCAGGACTCAGGAGGCTGAGTTTGAAGCCTGTCTGAACTACATAGTGAGTTGAAGACCAGCCTAAACTACATGTTGAGACCCTGTCTCAAAAAAAAAAAAAAAATCATAAAACACTGATGGTACTCTGGAGGCTGTGGTGGGAAGTTCACTTGAACCTAGGAGTTTGGGACCAGACTGGGAAATTTAGCGAGATTTCACAAAAAATAACTTTGACATAAATAAATATGATCACAAGGAGGAGCCAGGGACTTGTCTCAGTGGTTCCACCACCTGCCTCTCAAGCACAAGGGCCCGAGTTCCATCCCTGGTACAAAAAAAACAAACAAACAACAACAAAAATATATATATATGTATGTATGTATGTATGTATACACACACACACACACACACACACACACACACACACACACACAATGTATGTTACAAGGAAAGTACACTGACCCCAGTGACTAAATAGGCAGAAAATGAAGTGGATAATTAAGCCATACACATACTGTTCAAGCTTCTTAGGCAATAAAACCAAATCAAATCAATCATTTTTTTTTTCAATCAAGGTTATTCCAATTGCACAGTGATGCACATCTGTAAATCAGGTACTCTGGAGGCTAGGGCAGGAGGATTGCAAGTTCAAGGCCAGCCTGAGCAACTTATTGAGTCCATGCAAAAATGAAAAAGTGCTGCTGCCTTCCTTGCAAGCACAAGGTCCTAAGTTCGATACCCAGTGCCAAATTAAAAAAAAAGAAAAAAAAAAGTGCTAGGAATGTGGCTCAGCACTCTGGGTTCAATCCCCAGTGTCAGCCAAGTGTGGTGGTGCATGCCTGTAATACCAACACCCAAGAGGCTAAGGCAGAAAGATTGCTGTGAGTTGAAGGCCAGCCTGGAGTACACAGTGACTGCAAGGCTAGCCTGCACTACAAAGTGAGATGCTGCCTCAAAGGAAACAATCCCAGTACCACTAAAAAAACAAAAAAAAATTTTACTTCTCAAAATACATATACACATGTATGAATATAAATTATTTCTTGGGCCAGGGATTTAGCTCAGAGGTTCCGCCACCTGTCTTGTTCACGAGTGCAAGGCCCCGTGTTCGATCCCTGGTAGCAAAAATAAATAAGTAATTTCCCATCCCAGCACTTGGGAAGCTGAGGCAGAATTACTGGGAGCTCAAGGTCAGCCTAGGCTACATAGTTCAAAGTGAGCCTGGGCGTCATATAGTGACACCCTACTCCCCCCACCAAATTCTCAGTAGATACCTGATAGTGGTGATGTTGTACCCTGTTGAGGGCTATGTACACACTTCTCAAGGACAATTTGATGAGTTTGACCCCTGCTCTTGGATTAATTCCACTTCTTAGAATTGTCCCTAATGACTGTTGCAAAATTGTGAAAAACTTCATACTCAATGATAAATGTCCTTATGGCTAGTGTCTAAAGGGAACTGGAAATAACCTAAATGTCCAGGCAACCTCAGAGGGTTTTAGGGGAACCCTCTGCAAAAGCCCCAGTGGCCATCCTCCCCAAGGCTGTCTGGGAGCAGAGAATGGGAAATCTGTCTGCTGAATGAGCCCCATCACCCCTACAGACACCGTGGTGCTAACACAGATCCAGAAAAGCAGGGGGCCACTGGCTTCTAACCATGTGTCGGAGGTGCAGCTACACCGAGTGGAATCCATCAGTGACTTACACAGTGGAGGTAAGCGGGTGCAGGAAGAATGTACTGGGCAAGGGGAACAATCTGCCACCCTCCTGATATTTCCCCCTACTCCACAGGCTTGCCACACCCACATCTGGCTGAAGAGGCACGGCCATGGGATGAGTTGCTGGGTGTCTTGCCACCATCACTGTGTGCCCAAGCTGGTTGCAGTACAGTGTGTGGCCGTGGGGGGTTCCTGCTGCTGCTGGCACTGCTAGTGCTCACTTGCCTGGCACTTGCCATCCTGGCTGTCTACTTGAGCGGTAGGGACAGGAAGGGCAGGCGGGACCAACAGGGACTGGGAGGCCCTTTGGAAGGAGCAACTGCAGATGTTGCAGCAGTGAAGGGCGGGATTCAGTGGGCAGCCAGCTGCCGGGTGGCGGAGCAGGTCTGAGGCAGCACTGATCTGACAAGGTCCCACAAACACCTGCCCATCCCCAGTACTGCAGAGTGAATCCCTTCGGGTCCTGGCATACACGCTACGAACACAGGAGGAGATGCTGCTCAAGCTCCGACTGGCCAGCCTCAGCCAGCTTCGAAGGCTCAACTCCAGCGAAGCTCGAGCACCCAGCTGAAACTCCACTTGGACTGCAGCGTAGGGGATCTGGGGAGAATAAAGCAGCTGTTGGCAGATCTCTCCTCCCACTGCTGGTCTACACCACTTACTTGTTAAGATTTTTGTACAAGAGACTGATGTGACTTCACAGTCACCTCTTCTATCTTCAGGCCAGATCTAGCCAAGCCTTCTGGTACCAGGCTGTGTAGGCTGACCCAAGGTTAAAGGATGAGGCACCAGCCTCCTGGCTCCTCCTGTAGCCTATCCACATCCTCTGGCTATGCCTAGATGATAGCAGAGTAAGAAGTCTAGAAATAGCTGCCTCACTATAGCCACCTACTCTGCCAGGCCTCAACAGGAGTACAGCCTCAGGTCTCAAAAATAGGCTGGGCTCTGAGTTGGGCACCCCTCCCCCACCCTAGGATACACTGCCTTGGAGGGCAGAGATGAGGTCCTACTGGGCCTAAGCCTGGTGTCCTGGATGGAAGGGAGGGTGGGCAGAAATACCCAGGAGTCGGGACCAGATGTAGAACATTATATTCTATTTAATTATCTCTTATAATCTTTAAAAATCAGCACAAAAATCCACTTCAAGTAGCTTTGCCTCCCTACTTGCTGTGATGGCATCTACTCAGATGCCAATACCCCATAGAAGTGGGTCACTCCAGAGGAGCAAGGCATAAGAAAGGAAAGGAATAGTCCTCTACTGCCTGCCTCCAGACCTGGGACAGGCACTCATTTGGTCCTGCCTGGAATAGGACAGGAATAAGCCACAGGGCTGAGTGCAGGGACAAAGGTCAGGGTCCCTTACCCCCATTCACACACCCTGTTTTTGGTTTTGTCTTTTAAAAAAAAAAATAAAGTGACAATCACTGGCAGAGACCAGTTTTTGCATTGTCCTCTGTTAAAAATACAAGCAAGGGCATGGATAGTCTGTCTTCAGCTGGTTCATTTCACAGGATATCTGCCCGTTTGTCCCGCACACGGCTTCGAGCCTTGGTCCAGGCTTTGAAGGCAGCAGCATTGTATAGGTGCTAGGGGAGATAAAAGGGTGAGATCTGGTGAATTGGGAAGAAGAAAGTCCAAAGCTCCTTCTGCAGCCCCCATAGAGCAGGAGGCCTCCAGGAATTGGGGAAGGAAGAGAATTAAAGATGTCAAAGGATGCAAACCTTTTCAAAACGTGAAACTTTACAGGCCTTCAGAGTAGTGGCATCCAGTACCAGCACAGGGCCCAAGCCAAAGATGTCACGGAGAAGTTCATTATTCTGGGGACAAAGAAGGCAATGAACCCAGTACACCCCAAAGCAGCCAAGCTGGGGAGCCTGCCCAGCCCATACCCCCACCTGCAGGTGATGGTGCATGCCCGAACCCAGCACATCCTTGAAGGCAGCATAGATCCGGTGCCGAGCCCAGCTGTCCACATAAAGCATTTCCAGTCCAAAGCGGATCATCTCTTCCTCACATTCACCACCCTGCAGGGTAGCAGGGCCAACAGCTGAGCTTGGCTGCTATGCCTGGGGCTGCACTCTTGCTAGGACTCACAGGTTCTCACACACACCTCAACAAAATGCAGCACAGCACGGAAAGTAGAACGCTGGCGCCGGCGGTCAGCTTTGGCACGGTACTTATTGCTATCTGTGGCTAGAGTCCGCAGAGCATCACAGAGGGCCTCCATGTCCTCATAAACAAACTCCTCCTGTGTGGGAGCAATGGATGTACAAGGAAGAAGCTTAAGCTCTGATATCAACAGGCGGTTACCCAAAGCCTTCCTTTCCTAATAGCTCTCTTTTCTTCCTGGCTCCTCTCAACCCCTTTGGCCTCCACCTGCACAGGACACTTCTGCTCAGGGTCCCCATTAACACTTAGCACATGAGTCAATGTTGGAGCCACCTCTCCTATATAATGACCTAAGACTGCTCTGTATTCTGTGGCATGCTCTGCCTGCCTCCAGCCTGGGATGAGCAGTAGGACCAGCAGGCACCCCCCAACCATCCTTGCACCTCAAGGTCCCGGGCGAGCTCAAAGAGCAGTGCGATGGTTTCACCAGCAGCAATCCGCAGGTTCACACTTTCACTGGACAAGAGCTGTGGCAGCTGGGGCAGTTGCCTGAAGAAGGGGCAAGCTAAGCTACATATGTAAGTTGGGGGACCCTTCATGATCACCTCCCACTCCCAGTGGGTAACTATCCTCACCTGTCAAGGATGTGGCTGATGTGGGTGCTGGGACAGACAGTAAGCAATAATGCCCAGGCCTGCAAGGCAGCACAGAGCAGGCCATGCAGGCTGGCAGGAACCACAGGAGCTGTGGAGTCATCTGTGCTGCAGGACTGGCTGAAAACACCTTCTAAGCAGGCAAGGCAAGAGACCAGATCCTAAGAGCACAGGAGAACAAGAGAATGGCTCAGGGACAGAGTGAGGGGCACAGGTGCTCTACTACCTGTGTTCAAAGGTCACTCACCTGGATGTCGGCAGCAGCCACATAGCACCCCAAGCCAAGAGTAGAAGCACACTGTTGGAAGAACAAAGCTAGGCCATGATCAAGGGTCAGCCTGGGTTCCCAGCCATGGGCTCACTCCCCGTCAGGGTAGGGAGCCTGAAGACAGGTAGAAACCCACCACTCTGCTTAGGGATAAGGTAGAGGAAGGGTTTCCCAGGGCATGGGAACACTCACATGAAGCCGGGCAGTGGGGCTAGCTGTGCTGTCACTGAGCAGAGAGACTAGCAGGGGCTGCAGGCTGTGGAATAGCTCCTCGCCCTTGGGTCCAGGGCCCAGCTGCACACACAGCAGGCCTAGCACAGCAGCAGCCAGGGCTTGTTCTTCACCCTTCCCTGCAGAATGCTTTCTAGTCAGTTCTTGCAGTAAAGTAAGGTCAGCATCTGCCCAGTTAAAGTCCTCCACACACTCCAGGGCCTGACCTTTCTTGAGGCACTTTTCCAAGGCATCAGTCAGTGTGAGGCGGCGTTCCAGCAGGAAGTCAGGGAGCAGGCGAGAAGCCAGTGCCAAGCGCAGGCTCTCCAGAGCTCCTTGCCGGGTCTTGGTACTAAGGGTAGAGAAAGGAGGGTCATGTGGGTCAGCCCTCCCTTGCTCACACTTGGCATGGGTTAAGCAAGGCCCTGGATATAGGAGTAGGTTGGCAGGCAGGGGGTACCTCTTATTTGTAAGGCAGTCCACATATTCTTTCAGCTTTTCTTCCAGATCTTCCTGTTGGCCCTGTTCATCCACAGCATCCCCCCCTGCAAGGCCAGCAGATCAGCACTGCTTCGTGCCCTAGCCCAATGGAGCCCTGCCAAATGGCTACCTGCTCTTACCCAGGCTGTCTTCTGCTGTGGTGCTGAGAAGGCTGGGACATTCACTAGTGGTACTGCGGGCCTCACTGGCTGCCTCATCCTCACTGGAACCTGAGTCAGCTTGGGCACTACACCGGGCACCTGAGGAGTGTATATTAAGTTACTCAGCCTGCTTCCATTGATGAGGGCTGGCTAGGGCATACTCCACTCAACCACACAAGCCCACAAAACAGTATGCTACCCCTTCTCAGAGATGAGAAAACCAAAGCTGAAGCAGGAAGTACAGTGGCTAAGGCAGGGGACTTGTAGCAGTAAGCAGGAAAAGGGAAGAAGGTACATTGGCAAAAGAGTGTTAGGTACTAGGCCCAGCCTAGGGTAACCTGGCAGGCTTGGCAGGCGGTGTCTTTCTAAGGCCAGAAAGTATTTTAGGTAGAAGCTGGGAGTTAGTAAAGGTAGAAGGGAAAGGCTGCAGTCGTTCCACCTAGAATTGTGGCCTGGCCTGCATTATGCTCCAAAATGGCATTTAGCTCAGTGCTTCTGGTGCCTGCCTCACAAATGCAAGGTCCCAAGTTTCATATCCAGTACAAAGAAAA